GATCCTAGCACTGCACCATGAATCAATCTCAGCCTTACATCCTTGATCCCAGCATCTCACGCCCTGGATCCTGTCCCCTCCAACAAACTTTGCGGGGAGGGGAGACTACATACAAATCATTACATTTGTACTCTTTTATACTTTGATTTATACCCTACTTATATCTTTCACTGTCATTTTCACTTGAGAATGTTTCTAATAAAAGAATAAAAACGATTGACTTTGTTAAATCTACCAATTGGATGGAAGGTTTTTAATATTCTCAGTGAAGAAATGAGATGCATGGGGCTGGGGATTTAGCTCAGCAACATAAGCATGGGGCTGGGGATTTAGCTCAGCAACATAAGCACCTGCCTTGCAAGCAAGCAGTCGTGAGTTCAATCCCCAGTACCAATAAAAAGGAAAAAGACAAAAAAAAAAAAAAAAAAAAAAAAAGAAGAAGAAGAAGAAATGAGATGCATGCATGAAGTGCTTCATGCACACAGAAGAGGAAAACAGTTCTGCACAATTACATAAATGAGCGGGCATATCTGTAATCCCAGTACTTGGGAGCTTGAGGCAAGAGGACAGCTGTGAGTCCAAGGCCAGCCTGAACTGCAAGGCAAGAGGCTGTCTCAAACAAAGCAGGAAAAAGAAAAGTCCATTGAGCTAAAGGACCTGTGGTTTGAATGCAGCACCACTGTGGCTTCAGAGAACACCGACAGATATAGCATGGCTGTGGAGGGTGGGGTATGTGGCAGACATATTCTCCATGTGACAAAGTCAGTCTGTCAGTTCCGGAAAACAAGGCTCCAGCTCTGCTCTCAATGACAGAATGTGAGCTTTCAAGGAAAAATGAGAATTCTGGAAAACCTGCACCCACCACTGTGTGTTCAACAGCATCGAGTATATATATGGACTTCTCTTCAAGACTGGTGCTGCCTTAACACAAGGCATTATGGGCTGTGTCATGCAGTGTGGTAGCATCCGGATGGTGCTCATACCTCAGGGGAGCGCCTTTTCTAAACACTTAAGCTAAAGGTATTTATCAGAGAATCGTACCTAGGTAAGACAGCAATCCAAAGTGCCATCCAGACCAAGGACTTCACTGTAACAGGGAACAAAAGTCCAACAGTGCTCTCCCAGCTTCCGTGCCACAGGTCATTTTTAAGAGCTTGCTGAGTTTCAGTGTAGTGTCCAAGCACAGGCTGGTAAACTTTCTTCCCCTTATGCAACTTCCTGTACATGAAAGGCTGGCCTCTGTGTGTGCCCTTCAACCAAGACAGCTCAGAGCTCGCATGGCACCACAGAAGGCAGTGTAGATTTTGAAAGGCCAGGAGCTGAGATCTGAGCCGCCCTCCTCCTCCTCTCCTGGCCACACATGGGGAGGCTTTAACAAATACTGTTCTAGTAAAATGCGTACACGTGCAGTTTTAATAAATGTTGGCTCCTCTTGTCTGTTTTGAAAATTTTGAATTTCATGGAGAACATACTTTCCAATTATAATTATAATACATTAAAAACTGTTTTACTATCAATTTTTAAAAAACCTCATCTTAAGTCCTTGCTAGCATATGTTTCATAGCTTGATACTCTCTATGGCAACTACTACCGGATGTGGCACACAGGTCAAGCTAACTGCCTCCTGACTCCACCTGAGCCTGCGTAAAACACACCTGATTTGTGCAGGACAAAGTCAGGAGTCACCTGCAGTGTGGTAGCCCAGGCTCAGGGTCATGGCAGCTCCCAGAGGCAGAAGAGGAGGAGCTATTCCAGGATGCAGCTTAGCACTCCCTGGATTTGATCAGCAGTGCCATAAAAAACATAAAAATAATTTCATTTAAAAAAGCATTCATCATTCCAAAGAATGAGCTGATATATTTTACCTCAACATTTTTACATAAGCCTCAGACACTGATGAATCATTACGGGGAAAGATACACTCACTATCGTAGTTTGAAATACCATTAGCACTGCACGGACCCTGTCATCAGAGGGACATGGTCCTTGACTGAAAAATAAACTTCATTTTTAGTCAAATCATGGTTTTAAGATAAATTTACTCTTTCGGATTTTTTATGCCAAATACTGGTCAGGGAGTAAGGGAGAAAACTATGACTTAACTCAAGAACCTACACACGGGCCCGGCTGCTACACACCTGTCACCCCTGCTCCCTGAGGTCCATGTGGGAGGGTGGCGGCTCAGCCAGCCTGGGCAACACAGCAAGACCCCAGCTTGAAAAGGGAAAAGAGAAAAAGGAGAAAACACCAAGAATCTGAACAGGTGTGATACCAGGCAGAAACCCCAGACTCTTCCCTGGGCTCCAGAGGGTGAAATCAAGGCGGGGTCTGTGGAGCAGTGAAGGGGTACAGGGAGGGAAAAGTCAGGCTTTGTGTTCCAACGAGACAGGGCTCAGCACAAGCAGAGGTTTGTGGTCCCCATGATGGGTAGAGGAGCTGGGGGAGGCAGACAGGAAATGCTGAGGACTAGCTGAGGAGTGCCAGGCAAGATGCCAGGAACTTCTAGAGATTTTAAAGAAGGACTCAGGCCAACTTCTCCTTTTCCTAAGTGACAGAGTCATTTCCACTTTGCTCTATAGATGCAGCTGAGTCCTTGACAGTAAGCAGTGGGACAGAAGGAGGTAGCAAGGGCACTGGGTGTGGGCCCCACACGTGCTAGTGGCCACCTGTCCCCTTCCTCCGCACTTTGAGACTTCTCACCCACTAACCGCTCACTCTGTCCTGACTGAAAATGTCTCCCCCTGCTGAGCTGGCCAACCAGCAGCAGCATGACTGATGCAGTGAGCTAAAGCAACCGAGATTTGCAGCTGTTGACACCCTGTGCGCACTGGAGCCCCTTCCCTTCCACATCGTCCCCACCTCAAACAGTCGGCAAAGCCAGCTCCTGCCTGCCCGGCACGATTCACCCCAAGGACATGTTCCCCAGAATTCTGCCACACAGACATCACCTGAGTGGTGGATGCCATGAGCACAGAGTGGCTCCCAGTGTGAGCAGTCACCCGGCACTGCATCAAGCTCGAGACTGTCCTCTCTGAACCCTAACATCCAAACCACTGCTTACTGGTTTGATATGTGAGCTAGAAAAGCTTCTGGTTCTTGCTTAAAACTCTGGTTCCAGATCAAACTGGAAACACACTTGACACCCTTGACACACCAAGTAGGCATAGGATGCACTTGTTTTACATTTCAGCATCATGTACGAGCTGTGAGGACACCTGGCACCTGCGAGGCCGGGCAAAGCCAGCTGCACTTGCTCCTCGAGTGCTTCTGACCTGCAGCCACGCAGCACTGTGAATTCCATACTTGTTTCTCTACTGAGGACAACAGACGAGGAGTTTATTTAAACTGTATATAATTTCTTTCTGATCAGAAATATAAAGCTTCATGCAGTCGTGGTGGCGGCTGAATCTAGCATTTGCAAGTGGTTTGTTGTCTAGTGCTGGGATTGGTGGCGTGAGTGCTGCACCTGCTCAGGGGTGGAGAGCTGGCATACAATGTAAGGATGGGAAGGGGGTGCGCTTTCCCCCTTTTGCCCTTTCACTCTTGTTGCTTGTGGATGCAATGAATGGCTTCCCCTCAGCCACACCACGCTGCCTTGGAGCCAGCTGAATATGGACTGAAACCTCCCAAAACTGTCAGCTAAATAAACCTTTCCTTGCTTCACTTTGGGCATCAGGTATTTTGTCTCAAATACAAGAGAAATATAACCAAGACAGCTTCCCAATTAGTAAAATGATAGTGCTATAAAATTAATTTTGAATATTACAGTTTCACCTTTCTATAATTTACCTGATGGAAGGAAAAGCAGCTCCTGAGCAGAGGTCACAGTTAAAAAAATGTCCATGCTCAGATTATTCTACTGAGCTATCAAGAAAAACAAAGGAATTAATCAAGTCAGCTAGACAGCTTTCCTTCGGCAGAATCCGCCTACAAACACAGCCAACTGCACCGCACCTTTTCAGCTGCTGCTGCTATCTTGACAGTGGAAGGTTAGCTTAGAAGTAGATGTTCAGGTTACCAGATTTAGGGATGAAAAAAATGATTAAACCATCAAACAAGGACAGCACAAACTGTTCCTTTTGATGAACTTTCAGAGATTAGTAGTATACTTACACAACCACTACTTCTAAGATAATAAATATGCAATATATTAGTGTTAGTTTTCTACCATTTTAAAAAATTCTGTATCATTTCTATCTTTTATTTTTTTAATTAAACAGAGTGAAAGGTTAAGATTTGTGGATGTTCTAGAACGTGCTCAAATTTTGTTTTGAGACAAAGTTTCACTATGGTTCACCAGGTTGGCCTTGAACTCACAGCAATACTCCTGCCTCAGCCTCCCGAGTGCTGGCATCACAGACATGCGCCACAGCACCCACACTCACATCAACTATCCTGGGTGAACTGCACTTTCCTGAGGGACCAAGAACAGACATTAGAGTGGAGGGATGCACTCCGCCCTGAGCACAGAGCCCTGGAACATGTGGCCTGCACACCCATGGACAATCTCACAACTCTGTCTTCACTGTGCAGCAGCCCAACCAGTTCATTTCCAGTACCAGAGGCCCCAGCCCTGAGCGTGGGAGGCGCATACCCCACCACCAAGCCACATACCCAACCCCAGGTGAATGCATGCAAAAGTTCGGTTAATATAGCTGACACCTGGGCTCCGTGTAAAGGGACTCAGGCTCAGCTGCAGAGTTTCCTGACACCTGATGGCTGGAGTTTCTGTGACACAACACACATGAGAACTATGGCTCACACATGAGAATCAGCATGGGTGGATCTGAGCTCTACTATTTGGACATCTGTGGTAGAGGAAAATGATTTCTCCGCTGGACACCATGTTTAGCAAAAAATAAATAATAAGTAAAAGTCAATCGCAATTATTGTCTACTTTGAGAAAGGCAATCAAATCAACCTATAGAACACAAGAGCACTTTTCACTTGTTCTAAAGGACCCGGTCTATGTCAGGAAAGACTTGGAAGTCTCCACATACCTTGGCCACGGCTTGTGGAGAAAATGTGATTGCATCCAGCACGGTGATGAGGTCCCGCCGATGCAGGCGGTCAAAGTACCTTGCGCAGACATCGTAGGCATGCAGCCACTCCAGGGAGGACTCGGGGACCTGCTGCACCAGGTGAGGGTCCCCCATCCAGAATAGTTTCTGCAGCCAGACAGTGTAGAGCGAGCTTGGGGACAGCGTCCCTCCATCCTTCTCGGGGATGCTGGGAGCAAGTTTGGAAATAGCTAAGATATTCTGACTTGAAAGAACTGGCTCCAAGGCTTCAAGAGGGCTTGTGCTTCCATCTGTCAGCTTTTTATAGTCAAGACCTATTGGGAAGAGGAAGCGGAAAAAAGCAGGAAGTGGCCCACTACAAGGATGTGCTCACAGGCGCTGCCCCCACCCCAGCCCTCGGCACAGCTCAGCAACAACATCGCCAGCTCCTCCCGATTCTTGTCCTTATGTGGCCTTGCCCAATGAATGCAGCCTCAGCAGGGCAGTGCTTTGTGTGTCTGTTTCCTCGTCCATGCTGCCTCATTCTCCGCAGCTCCCAGGTTCTCTACTGAACTGCGATCTATTCACTTCAGGAAGGCAGGGAGGCAGTCTCACTCCTTTATACTCAGTAAACAATTGATCAAATGAAATGCGCTCTCATAACATTATTGCTGTGACTACCAAACAGATGGACTGCAAAGCGCCTCTCAGTTGTAAGGTGACACAGAGATGTGAGAGCTGTTGGTGAGAGTCAGGGTACCGTTCTAAAACCTTCCCTAAATCACTGAAGAGGAAAGACTCCCATTGTAAGGACTGTACACATATTTTAAATAGGCTTCACAAAAGTGAAGTTCTGCCAAATGGCCTCATGCTAAAATTCCCGTCAAACTTGCTCAGATATGTGCACATACATCCCTTGGTATGATGTTTTCAATTCTTCTGGGAATATGCCCAGAAATGGAATAGCTAGTTCAAGTGGGATTCCTAATTCCAGCTTTTTCAGGAACCTCCAGACTGATTTCCACAGTGGTTGCACCAGTCTGCACTCTCACCAACAGTGCAGAAGAGTTCCTCTCCCCACCCCACCCCCAGCCTCTCCAGCATTTGTTGTTGATAAGATTTCTGTATCCCAGCCATTCTGTGTGTATGCAGATGTGTATGTGTGTATATGTAGATGTGTACATGTGTATAGATGTGTACATGTATGTGTAGATGTGTACGTGTGTATACACAAACATACATGGTGAGTGTTTAAATGATTTATTATAGCAAAAGATATATTGCTCCTAATCACCCTCAAAACATACAGGTATTCTCCCTCACTTCAACACACGCACCCCATCTTTCTTGGCAATGCATCTTCCCCTGCACTACGTTTTAATGTGTAAACACTCACTGTATTTTCAGATCATACCTCATACACAGAACACGAGTGACTGGAGCAGGGGAAAAAAAAAGCCTGTGCTCTTAGGATTTAGTACCAAATCCACCGAGGTCACCATGGGACTCTCACGGGGCCTCCTACTTTTCCTAGGGTTTCATCCCTCAGCCGCAGGTGGGGTGAGCAGGAGGAAGGCCAAATCAATCAGCTCCACATCCCTGGGTCCCAGGTCTGTCCTGCCCACAGCATCGGCCAGCTGTGGACAGGACTGTGACCTCCAGATGGAGCTGAAAGGGATGCATTCAAGCAGGAACGTGAGCAGCCTACCTGCCGCAACAACTTTTAGCTTCTTTAGCAGGCGCACGTGGGTCTCGGGCTTCAGGGCTGAGTCCCCCTGGTCCGTGCAGCCACAGCTGTCTAGCAGAGTGAAATAATACAGCAGCCTCTCGTGGTCACGGCCACCAATGGAAGGGTAGATGTACTTGGCCATGTGCCTATGGAAGGCTTCTGGATCCGTCCTCAGGGTCTCAAGGAGGTGCAAGGCCTGGGCCCGCTCCCCGATGTCAGCAGTGGACAAGCTGAAAGGAAGAGCCAGGGTGCCTGTGAGGGCCGAGCCGCCACAACGGGACCTGCTTGCTTTGTCCACTAGGAAGAAAGGTTGCTTCTTCCAGATCTTTTTTTTAATGCCTGATCAAAGACAAGAGTTGCCAGACAAAGAAGCGCACAGAAAGGGGCCCACTGCACCCTGCCCAGACCCTGCACCCGCTGGGAGAAGACGTGAGCTCGCCTCCCTGAGAAGAACTGCATGTCGACCTTGTTCTCCCAGAGCTTGGGACACAGGAAGGGCAGAAGATGCCCACTTTTAGGCATAAATTAAATAGCCGAGAGTCTTGATTGATAATCCATAGACTCCGATTACCATGTTCAACTCAAACAGGAAAGGTAAGCAACTACTTCCACCTGAATCGCCTACACCAGTGTTGCCCGAATGAAATCTCTGTCTTGGGTATTTTCATGTAACTGAAGGTCTCTGTAGTATAAGAAGAGGCAAAAAGAAATGCAGCGTTCTGGTTGGCCGATCCATCTGCTGGGGTTTTCAGAGCGAGCAGAGGAGCGAGAGTCCGCCTTTGTGTTTCTCCCAGACACAGTGAGCTCCCCAGCCTCCGCCAGCTACCCTGGGATCCACAGCAGTGCTTCTGGCAGAGCTGCAGGAAGCGCAGGGGCAACCAAGGTCAGGCTCCCTACGGTTTATTTATTTTTCAAAGACAGTGATTTTATCCAGTTCATTTTAGGTACATATAATGATCACATTCATTATAGAGAATCTGCATCTGTACAGGACAGAACTTGATTCTTTTTTCTTTCTCTCCCTTCTGGAGCCCTCTGTTTAACCTCAGGCTTCCTGTGGTGTAAAAGCAGCACCTGTGAGCTAGGACAGACACTTTGTTTCCAGGGGTTACTATTTTTAGAAAGTGTGAAAAGGCATGTTTTCAAAGTTAATATAAATTGTGTTTTAAAATTTTTATGAGTGTAATAATACTCAGGATAAAAGGGACAACTATAGCCAAAATATCAGGGAGCTGTTAAAAATGGTCTTCTTACTTTCACTTTAAGAAAAATCTTTTTCTGTTAAGACATACTTTCAACACTTATTTATATAAATATGTCCTGTGTCTACAAAAACTCCCCCGCACGCCTGCCTGTGCATGGCACCTGCATTTCCACTGCTGATCATCCAATGCCTCCCTCAGTAGACCAGTGAGCGCAGCTGACAGTGACGCAGAACACACGACACCTCTGTGTTTTCAGTTTCTGACGCCAAGACTCAGGGTAGGGGACGAAGGAGGCTTTCAGTTGTGTCCTGTGAATGTCACAAAGCTGGGCAGATAAGCAAAAGAACTAGGTGTCCTCTATCCTCACCGTGCCTGCTCTGGAGAGGATATGAAGATTTAGAGCACTGTTTGAAAACTGCAGTTCAGTTACAAATACTTGCAATTAATAACAGTGCAAATCAATGGCGCAGGCTGACAAAGGACACAAAACTGTATTCTAGGCCAGAGTGGGAACGACGAAAGTGACAGCTCAGAGAGAAGGCTCAGTGAAGGCAGAACCTGGGTGTGGCATGGCAGAGAGGAAAGGAACAGAAATGACGGGAGGTAAAGTGCAGAGACAGAAAGCAGCAAGCCTGCACGGGAACCCTGACACACACCGCTGGCTGGGGTAGGAAGCCCAGATACTGCCTGGCTCCGGTGCCAAAGCCATAGCTGAAGGAGCCGGTGCAGTGTACTGACTTCCTGCTGCTCCTCTCACCTGCAAACTGAGGTCTGAGAGTAATGTGGGGAGGTAAAGAGGTAAAACTGTGTCTCCCTGGCAAGATGATTCTCCCTGACAAAGGGCGCCAGGAAATTAAAGCTGGGGCATCACTGGGGAGCACAGAGGTGGTATCCTGCAGGCAGTCATGGGCCCTGCCTGCACCTGAGCCTCCACATCACCCACAGTCAAGAGCACGCTGGCTCCCCCACATCCCACAGCACCCCTCCACTCCTGCAGGGCAAGCAGCCACAGCGAGCCCACTGTGAAGATAGGGCTCCTTCCACACAGGGCTCCAGCTCTGTGCTAACGGCAATGATCTGGAAGAGCACCTCTGTCACATTTCATTCCTGACACCCTAGTGACCAGGGCAACAGCTGACTAGCAACAGGTGACTCCGTTTATCTATCTGTGTCTGATTGGCTTCTAAATCCATTCTCTCTCCACCAACATGACTTCCTCCTCTGCCCATGCCCCTGCCCTTCTGCGCCTACAATGCAGGCTGCCTCTTGTGCAATTTTATCTCAGGACCTGTCAAGACTGTAAATACCTTTGCTGACATGGGATAAACAGCCCAACCTCCCTTTTTAGTAAGTTACAATAGATGCTGGTGATCAATAGTCCATTTTAATCGTTTCCAAGAAAGAAGCTGCTATCTTCCCTCAGAACAAGTAGCCAGAGGAGAGAACAGGAAGAGAAACCATGAAAACTAATCACATTAGTGACTGCCCTTAAAAACAGTTTAAGTACTTTTTTCTGAACTCGTTTTAGCTGTAACACAGTTTATAAGTATGATGCATATTTGCTTTCAGAGATTAACTACAGAGAGAAGCTAGCACTAGGCATACTCAGTGCACAAGGCTAGAATCACTGTCCTAATCCCTGACAAAGCTGTGATGGCTTCAAGTTGCCAGTCACGCCAATAGGCGATTCAAGAACAGTACGAATCCAAAGGACTTGCATTTGCAGAAGAAAACAATTCTTTAAATCCAGTTTTCCTCACTCACTCTCACCTTAGATGATGGGAAGGGTTACTCTGTGCAGGGAGGGGCAGGGGGCAGGAGAAAGGAAGGGAACAGGAGGGCAGGAAGTGGAGGAGAGGGGAGATTCAACCTCCACCCTAACTGCTCAGTTTTTTGTTTTTTGGGTTTGGTTTTTTTTTTTTTTTTGTACCAGGGATTGAACTCATGACCCTGCACTTATCAGGCAGGCACTTATACTGCTGAGCTAAATCCCCAGCCCTCACTGCTCGGTTTTAACATCAGCAAGACCTATGCCCACATATGTGTGTGAAACGTTCTCACTCTGCATGCACCTTCCCTGATTCTGTATTCCCGTTTTAATTTACAACATCATAACACTGAAATACTGAAACAATGTTACTCCCAGAGAGTTGGGACTGACTGTAGAGACTCACAGCACATGCAATAGCCTCTTAACAGAGAGCCTGCCCTGCAACTGAATCCAAGGCTAGAAGAGAACATGACTCTCCCCGGCAGCCACGAGGGGCTGAAGGTAGAGGTCAGGTCCCTGCCTGGCCTTCAGAGAAGCCTGTTGTCTTGACAGGAAGAGAAGGATGGGAAGATCTGCCACGCCTCAGCACATCATCTACCTAGAGCAGGGCTCCCTTCCTCTTGGAGTGTAGGGGACTGTACTGAATTCACTCAGCAGCGAGGTATCAACTTGCAGTGGTGCTCTTCACTTTACTGAAACAAAGTGCCTGAGTCAGGCCACTTATAAAGAAAAGCAGTAGGTGGAGCTCTTTCCCAAAAAAAGAGCTTCTGAGTGACATCTAGGGATGACCTCCACTGGCCTAGTCCTGAGGTACACAAAGCAGTTCATGGAAAAGGGCAAGATGCACACACATGCAAGGTATGACAAAAAAATGGAGTGTGCTTCATTTTCAAAATTAGTTACAGTGAAAGACACAGCACCGCAAGTCCCCACAAAAATCCTCTCCTCACTCCGAGCATACTCCCTCCACTTCCTGCAGCAGCTCCAGAGTCCTCTTAGCTGGCTGTCCTGGCCACCTCCGTGTCCCAAAGAGATTCAGAAACATACATTTCTCCTTCGAAGTCCTTTTGGCTTTCAGGGAGCAGGAAGTAGCATAGTGCCAGATCCCATGACTAAGGCTGGCAGTTTTTATTACACCTCCTAAAGACACCCAGAGAGGGGACTTTCAGAGCTGCTGCAGAAAGTGGCAAGAACCACTGGCTGAGTGTGTTTGAAGTGAGGGGAAGAATTTCGAAGGGACTCTGTGGCATTGTACCTTTTCCAACTTTTAAAAATGCAGTCAGTCATTCACCCCCTTTTTCAAATCACCCTTGTGTCTCTACACCCTCTGGTCTCACACTGTCCTTTCACAGGCTGCCACTGCAGGCTTAATCAAGCAGACACCACAGCCTCCCCTCCGCCCACCCCGGCAGGTTGTTTCCACCTTGTTCACACCTGATGGTGGGGATTCAGCAGGACTAGGGACTCTCCAATCACTGCTGAGCACCTCAGTGGCACCCTAACTGTCAGACTCCCACACAGGGGACTCAGTTCTAACTTCCCACAGAGTCAGGACATCGATAACCACCATCTGCCCCCACTGCAAACTGCACATTCCAAGACAGCCACAGTGCGGCTCTTGCGTCATGTCGTGTCTAATATGGGAGCAGAATCCCAGCAAAAAATCTTTCAGTGAAACACACAGCAGATCAAATTATCTAATGTGAGACTAGAGCTACTGAAAAATAAAGGCTAAAAAGGCCTGCGAGTACACTAGTGTACTGAAAGGGTAAAGGAGAGGATAATGTGCCAAGATACACATCACTGTAGCTGAGGAGGGAAACTGTAAATTCTGCTGGACGAGTACTTGCAGATTCTTCCCAACAGCAGGGCATGGCCGCAGGTACTCACCCGCTATCGGTGAACAGAAACTCCAGGTGGGTCATGAACACTTCCCAGCAGGAGATGCCGCAGCGCTGAGCCAGGGAGAGCACAAGGCTATACACGGTCTCCTCTAGCGTTCTTCGGGACAGCCGGCAGGCACAGGGGAGGGAAGCAAAGAAACACAGGACTTGGTGGGCAGAGGGCACTGGAGGGTGCAGATTTAAGACGCCTCGCAGGAAGTGGGTTTCAGAGCTCGTTCCCCACTGCAGCGAGAGCCGTTCACCTGCATCTGGTCCACACCGGTGGCTCCCAACCAACCTTCCCCCAGGGCCTGCTCACTAAGCTCTGTCCCCAGGCCTGTCTGGAGCTGTGCTGGGCTGCATCCTGTGACAAGGTCTCACTAAGCCATTGAGTTCTACAGGCTGGGCTCAAACTCGAGACACTCCTGCCTCAGCACTCCTGCCTTTGGCATCTGCACCCCCACACCCAGCTGTGTGGATGCGTTTACCCCTTGACACAGCTAGGAAGGAACCAGAGTGTCACACACTCTTCAACGCTGCCTGCTTGGCCACTGAGACGGTGTCATCCAAGAGGTGCAGACAGTGAAAGACAGGCACGCAAAGGAAAGAACTTGGCTGTTAAAAATGGCAACAAAGAGCAAGGAAACCAAGGCAGCTGCAGGACACAGTGTGAGGGAAGCAGCAGAGAGGACAGCGTAGGTTACACAGTTCGTCTACCTGAGACACAGAAATCCAGATCAGAATTGGCCAAACTGCCAACCTGCGGAACACTGCGGCATTTTAAACAAGCCATCCAAAGACCACAGTGTGGTTTTGTACGCAACAGAATGTAGAGGAGAGTCTATTATGTATTTATCAAAAGCATGTATTTGTCCTCTAGGACATGCTTCAAACAGCATATGCTAGCAAGACACTTTAAAGGAAAACAGGCCCAGCAAAATGTAACCAAGGATCTCAGACACCACTCCCTGAATGCCTTCATTCTGCACAAAGACCTCTCAGAAGGTGCGGGAACTCGGCATGAGGCTCAAGAGCCAACCACAGAGAAGTGCTCGGGCTGAGAATCAGCACCTGGCTGCGTGGCCAGCCCAGCTCCTCAAAGCTCTGAGAGCCTCCAAAAGAGTTGCTGCAGCGTTGCCGGTAGCTGTTCTTGTAATCCACGAATGAGCCCCCAAACTTCAGTTCAAAAAATGAGGGAAAAACTTATTTTAAAAAAGCAGCGCTGATTTATCCTGGGCCTAGCGACACAGTGCAGTTGGAGACTGTAAAAGCTGTGTGTCTTGTTCCTCTATATTTGCCACCTTTAAGTATATATCACTATAAAGTAAGGGGGTCGTGGGCGTGGATCAGGATATGGCTAATGGGGAAGATCCTGTTTTCCTCAGCAGAGAACAGAGGAGTCTAGCAGCAATTAACAACCCTTGTTACCTTATTTTAGCACCACATCTGTTATTTGTAGTGGGCCGCAATGGTTAACATATCAATTAGGTCACCCAGAGGGAGAAGGGAGAAGAAAAACTTATACAGAACAGTTAGAGTCACATTACAGGTATTTTGGTATAATACAAAGATAATGAAGCTCTTTTTTCTAGTGTACAACAGCTGCCAAACCAGGCACTGAGTGGCTATACAACCAGGAACCTCCAGGAGAAGAGGGTGAGTGACAGGGACTGCGTGTCCCTGCACATCTCTGCTCACCCCTGCATGGTCCTGGGATCTCCCCACACCCTGCATGGTCCTGGGTAGGCATCTCTAGTGGGAAACAAGGCCAAGCCAGTATGAAATTATCAGCTATCCCAACAACTCAGCTTCTTTCTCAAGGATGTAAATGAAGATGGGTGACACACCCTTCTTGTCATCAGGCTCACTGTTAGTTTAAAACACCACGGACGGAGCAGAGTCACTCTCTGTAGAGAGGGATTCCACTTCAGTCCCAAGGCCGGGCACAGTGCTGCCTTGAGGGGCAGGAAGAGGGCATTGAGGAGGTGTGACGCTCTGACTCAGGACAGCGCCTGCTCAAAGACGCAAGCTACCAGCTACAGAACTTGGGCCACTGACTGCATATCCCTGAGCACTCTCCCAACTAAAAACAGGGAAACCACATTCCATCTCAACATCATCGAGGAGGACGAGTGACAGATAAAGTCTCTGGAGTACGCCTGAGGCCTTGACCCTGCTAAGCATTCAGAGACTTGTGATGTGAGAAACACAACATCCCAGGTTGCAAACCAGCACCAACAAAGGTGGGCGCGCAGCCTCCCCTTCTGACAGGGGCACTTCTCACTGATCAAAACTACACAGCAAACATACACTAAATTTTCAAAGCCAAGGCAACACCCGCTCAGAAAGCATCAAACTGCACCACCCTCCCACAGGGGCTGCACCTCCCTTGAAGGGAGGAGGCCCATAGGAGAAGCACAGCCACTCCTGGCCTCTGACAGAGGTGACAAGAGTAGTGGCCTCTCTTCCTCTTCCTTACAGAAGCCCAGGGCAGGCAAAGGCACCTGCAGAGACCACGTCTGGTCCTAGCATATTATGTTAATGGGATCTAATTTATACACAACTCAGACATTAAACTGCCAGCACTCAATCTCGAGATCCTCCTGCCTCAGCCTTCCCAGAAGCTGAGATTACAGGCGTTCACCACCATGCCTAATTGACATGTACTTGGGAGAGTGAGATTTTCAGCAATCTGACTTTTAAAAGTCCATCAGTAATCATGTCACCTGTTTCTGACCCTCTCCTACTTCCTCTACCATGTCATCCTCCTGGCACAGGGGAATCAAAGGCTTGGGGAACTTTACAACCAGCAGTCTCAGCACTTGCTGAGTCGCAAGCATCTACTGCTGTTTGGAAAGACATACGCATCTCTTCTATGGCCAGGAGGAGGGGCCAAGCTCTGGACAGCTGCAGCACTCATGGGTCATCAGAGGACTAAGACGAGCATTCTGACAGCTCCGTCTGTGCGCATCTCGGACCCAGCCCCTCGAGACACAAAGGTGCCCTTACTCTGCCAGCCCAAGGATGGTCTCCCTCTTGTACTGGTCATCAGTGGTGAAGCGCTGCACGTCCACGCCCTTCCCCAGGCCCTGCAGGAGCTGTGCCTGTGTTAAGTCCAGAAGCTGCTCATTGTAGTGGTGCAGCTGCGCGGTGAGTGGGGCCAGGGCCTCCGGCCAGGCTTTGAGTCCACAGTGAGTCACGTGCCTGGTGACCATCCCGATCACCTCTTTGGGGTCAGCCTGCGGAAGGAATGGATGATCCATTGGACATGTATTATGGCAAGATGAGCATGGGAGGTCAGAGAGGGTAGTGCCCACCCACACGCACTGGCCCTTCAGCTGTGGTCACCTAACCAAGGCGCACCTTGCCTGAAGCCAGCACAGATAGCAGGCACAGCGGGCTGCGAAGACAGGATGTGGATCTGGGACGCATTCAGTGCCTCTGCTCTGTGCCTCACCTGGAAAACCTCTCCCACTTTTAAAGCAAGACCTCTGGCTCTTTCGGTCCTGAACTAGCATGCACCTGTACTACAGAAAACCCCAGAATGTACCCTGGTTCTCGGAAACACACCACTAACTCAGGCAAGCAGTCAGCATCTCTAGGGGTAGCAAGCCTAACACACCAGACCCACACAAGAGACTGACCAGGGTCCAGTCTGTGTTGCCAACTACACCTGAGAGTCTCCCTTGCTCCTCTTAAGGAAACAGCTGCGAGCGTGGGTAAAAACCATTTAAAGAAATCTTTAAATGCAGCAGCAGGTGGACCTGAGCAAGTCAACCTTATTCTATTTAATTTTTCCCTACCCCTATGCAGATACTAAGTCCTATTCCTAAAAATCACAAAGAAACATCTTCAGTCAAAACACCTGTACCTGAATAACATACGTAATAAGCTAGACAGCCACCTTTCATCCATTTACAAAATTTTCTGTGTGCACATATTACGTACCAAGGGAGGCACTACCATCATACATGCCCTGCCCCCCAGAAACTCAGTCTATTCGGAGGACACTGAGCTATTGATTGTATACAGTGTGACACAGTAAGCACAGGGTGCTAGGGAACTACAAGAATGGGACTTGGGCAAGTGTCAGGAAGTCTCCTTAGAAGAGTTTATATCTTAGCTAAGTCCTCAGGTACCAGTAGCAGAAAGGCCAGTGCTACGGTCTAGATCTAAAAAGTCCCCCACAAAATCTCCTGTGTTCAAACGAGACTGAACCCTATGGGGGACCTAGAAGGTATGGATCACAGTGCTGTGCTCATTGTGAATCCGTCACGGATGAGTCCCGGGCTGAACGTGCTGCAGGGTCTGGTTGGAGGTGGTCACTGGGGTGTGACCTGGAAGGGTATGCCCCCAGCTCCTCCCTTCTCTCTGCTTCTTGTCTGCCATGGATCAAACAGCCCTTCTCTGCCACACTGTTGTACCGTGCCCCTTCAGCCTCAGATCTAGCTAGCCAGGGACTGAGCCCACAGAAACTATGAGGCAAATCAATCTATCCTCCTTTGAGTTACAGGTGTCAGGAATTTTTGCCTGAGTGATGAAAAAGTGACAAATACAGTTCGAAAAACAGGAAGACAACTTCTATCAAAGGCTAGAGCATGTGCTAAGTCCTATGTGGCTACAGTCAAAGGGAAAAATGGAGTAGACAAACCAAATCTAACTGTAACTGCAGAGTACTTAGGAACCAGCTGCATAGACACTACTTCTGGCAATGGATTTGGATTTAAGGGGTTCCCATGCCTCAGTTCTCAGTGTGGCTATGGCTGCCTTTTAACTTAGTCTCCTTCTATCTGCTGGGTGGACCTCTCAGGGGACCACTCTGAACTTCCACCATGGGCACAGTGACTTCTGCAGCTCCCTGGTCTAAGGACAGCACTCAGAAGCCAGCTTGCTTGTTGACACCAGCTCTGCAGGCTGGGCTGATGTGCACTGCATCTCCACACTCATCACCAGCCTCAACAGCACAATACCTCACTTGACATTCTCTCTGCATTCTGATGTAACTTGTGATACAAACTCTGTTGCAGTCAGTATTTACAGAGGAACAGACTTACTACAGGATGCATAATGCATAGGATTATTTTATAATTTTCACCCAAAGAATCAAATACAGAAGAGTGAAGGAAATCTGTCCACACGCTAGAGACCCAAAGAATACAGCTAAGGGCCTGGGTCCTATGGCAATTTCCTACATGAGTCCAGATGAAAACATAGAGCCCATAACAATGTCTCCCACAAGTCCAACTGGAGGCCTAGAGCCCACAACAAAGTCTCATCCAAGTCTATATGAAAGATCTGCACTAGGAAAGCCCAAAGCTCAGTAGTGGACGCTAGAAAGTCTGCATCAAAGCCAGCAGGCTGAGGGATCGACATAGGAGTAAGGAAGAAATGCATATGGTAAAGACCAGACCTCCCTTAAAAAAAACCATAGCCATCCCCAGTGACAGCAAGAACCCAAGCTCCTCCAATGATAGCAGCTGAGTTCACAGCAGGAAAGCCAGCAAGACAAGCTTCTCCAGAAAATCAAACAGCGCACCATCTCCGCTCCAGTTCTCTTTTTAGCTGCTGGCAACCATCCTCAGGTGGATCTTCCACACCCAGCACCGCACTCAGTTCCGTGTTTCAAGTTGACCATTAGTTAAACCTCCACAAACCTCCAGGCCAGGTGGAGAGGAGTCCTACCAACTGGCAGCACAGAAGAATGTGCATAATTGCCACTGCCAACACCTACCAAGGGTCTTATGTGCCCTGCAGAAAGTTTCTGGTCCCTGCACAGCAACTTTCATATTCACATGTGGCAGAAAGAACGCACAAAGAGACACTCTCTTCTTTGCAATGAAGAAGTAACACTGGAAATCAGCACAGTGTGCCCAGCTTAGCAGCTAGTGGACCTTGTACAGCGACTTAATAACTACAAACCCCACCATGTTACCTGCAAACCAGCAATGACAAACAGCTTCCATGTTGAGGCGTCCTGGGAGGCAGTGAGTATGAAACCAAGGCAGGCAGGTGCCATGAAGGACAAGATTGAAACTTGGTTACTCTATTAACCCAATGGACCTGAGCTCATTCTCAAGGAACTGAGAAGCAGTGACTGGCAGAGGCGTGCATAGGTACCATCCATGCAATAGCAGGCCAAGGCCAGCATCCTGGGGCTCTGCACAGAACTCAGCTGATGCCCTTGCCTAGTTCTGGCACACGGTGTCCTCAGATGGCAAAAAACTTTGACCCAGGATCCCCCAACACTAGAAGCCTGCCATGATTCCTATCATCACCATAAACTCAATCCTTGTGGATCCCTCCAGGTGTGGAAAGAAGGAAGGTCTATGCCTCTCACCTATTGTCTCTACTAGATATTTACTGCTTTTCTCAAAATGCTCCACCTCCCGGCCACCCAGCACCCATTTCCTGTCTCTCATGCACCTCCGCAGGTGCAGCATCCTTGACTTTCTACAGCATTTGCTCTCACTGGACCTCGGAGTTGCCCAATGACTGCAGAGGGGACAGAGGCTGGAGACAGGGAGGGGCCAGCTGCCTTTGCCCACCGTCCTATCTGCTCCACACACCTAGGTTCCATTTAGAGCAAACATACCCCTTTCCTCCACAAGTTCCATGGCGAGACTTGTCAAAGGAAAGCCTTTGGCTCTTAGCAAGACTGCAAAGGGCTTTATGGGTAAGTTTCATAATTGTTTGTGGTTCAGTATCAGAGTGATACTGTAAAATATCACAGACTATAAAAAATATAAGCATAAAAAAACACCAAAAACTTAAAAATGTAAGGTGGGATGAACTGACTTATTCTATGTTATTATGGTTGATACACTGTACCAACTTCAGAGATTTAGAAGTTTAACTGACTCAGCAAGGAGCCAGAATCCTTACTTTGTAAATATTCTCATCCTGTACAAGAGGAGGGCACAGAGACTTTGTGAGTGGTACACCTGCCCTGGAGGGAGGGCAGCCGGTGTACAATGTAAGGGAGGAAAAGAGGCTTGTTCTTCTCTCCTTTTTGCTCTGACTGCTGCCTTGAAGTGTTGCCTTAGTGCCACACCACCTTGCCTTGCAGCCAGCTGATTATGGACTGAAACCTCCAAAAACTGTAAGCTAAATAAACCTTCCCTTCCTTAATTTTGGGTGTTGGGTATTTTGTCCCAGCAATAAGAGAAAAGTAACCAAGACACTATTTTCCTCCCAAATGTGGCAATTCAGTTCTTCAGGAGGGTAATTGAAATACAATTTCTCTAACGAATATGGTCAAATCATTTTGAAAACAAAATATGGCATAAATATCCATGACAACAGAAAGCTGACTTGATCTACCGCTCATTAGTAGGGATACTAAATCCATTCTGGTTCAATGGTCTCCATTTCTGGGTAATATTGTCTGGAAATTTTTAAACAGGTGGTATGCTTCCTCTCTAGGGTTGTTATTTTGCTTGAGATAATTTTCTACTTAGTATTTTCAATTAATAGCTTTAAAAAACTCATTCTAGAAACAGTCTACCATAAAGTTTTGAATTTTACCTCTGCTGCATTAGACACTATAGACTATAAAACTAAATGTTTCCATTTTTAACTGATTTCATCTTCTAAACCCTACAAAGAATGCTACAAAGATCACCATATTTTACCACAGTTATAAAGGTAAGAGTCAAGTGGGAAAAGTCCAGGTACTGCACACATGTAACTTCCATCTAATATATAAATATGTATATCCTGCCAGGTATGGTGGTGCATACCTGTCATCCCAGCACTCAAGAAGCAGAGGCAGGAGGATTGCTGTGAGTCTAAAACCAGCCTAGGGTCGGCCTCCCCTGCCCAGGGTGGGGAGAAGCAGCAGCCAAGATGACACCTGCGCCCACAGAGATGCACAAAAGGGCCCAAAACCCAGAACTCTGAACGCGGCTGTTGCAAATATCAACTTCCAAGGAGGCTGTGTCAGGAAGTACGTGGGAGAAGCAGCCCTGGCTCGCTGAGACCCAACCTGTCATGTGCAGGGTTCAGGTGCCAGCTCCTGTGGGCTCTGCCGGCGCAGTAAGTGACTGACGGTCACTGACTGCATTTCTGTGCTTTTCTCTCCCTGAACATGACATCATGGGATGGTGACACCAACTGTAATACCTGTAGAAAATGCCACGGTACCAGTGGCACAAGTGCGACACTCGGGGGCTTGGTGCTATCTCCTGTCCTTGGTGTCCTGTGTCTTGCTCCCATGATCTGGTCTTCTTCCTACTGCCTTGGCCAGCACCCTCCAGACCCCATTTTAACAGCACATTCCTCCTCGCTCTCTCACACCCCACTCCTGTTACTTTGCTTCTGTTTGAATGTGTATCTGATTTACTTATCTTATTTCTGATGCTTCTTTCCCCAGGACAATGTCATTCCTAATACAGGGAAGTGTTTCTTTTCTTGCAGCTCTGGGGGTTAAACCTAGCACCTTGTACTGAGTTGCATCCCCAGCTCTTTTATTTTTCTATTTTGAGACAGGGTCTCACTAAATCATGAAGTTGTCTAGGCTGGTTTGAATTTGCAATCCTCCTGCCTCAGCCTCCTGTAGTAACAGGTATGGACCACCATGCCCAACTAGGGGGAAGCTCGGACTCTGTTCACCACAGGATGGGGATGGCAGGGCCAGGCCTCTCACGCCACTCTGCCTGTGCACTGGGACCAGAACACTTTGGTGTATCCACAGTGCAGAGAGGTTTTCACTCAAAAGGTAACAGTAAAGACATGTGTGTGACGTGAAAGCTGGGGGAGTCCTGTTACAGCAGGAATACTATGTGCTGACATTCCATCTGTAAATCACTTTTATATCTTGGCTTAGAAATAGAGTGCAGAACTCTTAAAAAATCACACTGGCCCCTTTCCTGAATTAGGACAACCACCTTCTTTTTGGGTAACTAACTGAAGCACCGATCCTCCATTTAGCCTCTTCCACTGCATTAGCATTTCCCAAACAAGAACCCAGTAAAAGAAAGCACACAAAGAAAAGCCGGGAAGAGTCACAGGCACAGCAAGTGTGAGAAGCTCTACTTCTCAGTGCAGATGGACGGCAATGGTGCCCCGAGGGCTGTGGGCTGCACCTGGTTAGGAAGAGCTCGAACCCACCCACCTCGGGAATATGGTGGGGCCAGGGCACTCACTCTGTACAGAGGGTGGCACTTGTCACTGAAGCCGGGTGCCAGGTGGGCGTAGATCTGGAGGCTGTAGTAGTACACTGCCAGCTGGAGGGACAGGGCTGAGTGTGCCTGCTTCTCAAAGCACCTATTCGCATCTAACACCTAGGGAGGAGCGGGATGTCGTCAATGCGGATGAAGGAGGTGAGCAGGAGACTACAAGCCACTCCGTCACTTGTCATTACCCCAGGAATCTGGTACAAGCTTCCACCCCGTCACCCAAGATTAAGCTACGCTTAAATGTGATGGCGTGAAAATTGAGAAGACGCCATTTGGCAGGCGCTCTGAGGGACAGGTGAATAAAAGACAGGCTTTAAATTAGGCTGCAGGATTCCCTCCATAGACTCGACGGGGTCCTCTCAGCTGTGGTGAGCATGAGCAGGCGAGACACTTCCACTGAGAAGGGTCCCCAGAACAGAGCCCTTGGGTTCTTTAAAACTCTCCATTTGTGAGGACCAACTTACCTGTGGTAAGGCGAGGAGGTAAGCGAGGGCCAAGGTCATGTCACTGGGCAAAGCATCACTCGCCAGCTGCAGGAGAACTGAGACAGGGGCAAGTGTTACTGTGTGTGGGACCCTCGCACGTTCACATGGACCACCACACTTGCACACTTGCAGCAGATAATTATCTCACAAGATTCTTTCATAGAAACCCTTGGCACCATCTGAACACAAACCTTAAACCTGCATTAAGCAGTGACCCTGCCCAGAGGAGGGAACCCACTGGGACAGTGTCAGGTGGGGTGAAGGTATCCATGGCCACGGTTCCAGGGGCCGCGTCCTTTTACAGGCCAGGCTGTAAAATTCTGCATGTGGTGACAGCCAATGTGAAAGGCAGTCACACGAGTACTGAAGTGTCCTGAAATCAGAGCCATAACACAGCCCAGCGCGGGCAAAGGCAGGATGAGCCTTTTGATTATGACACTACTGCCATGACTTCACTCTCTGAGAACAACCCTCTTCATCACCCACGCAAAAAGTCAATCATCTGCTCTGTGCATGTCTTAAACTATCCCTAACAACTTCTTTACAAAATTTTTATGAGTGAAAACCCACCAGTGTCATGGCTTTAATAAAAGAGAGCACCTTGTCAATAAATTCTGTGCTCGTATGTGGCTAGTATTAATAAGCAAGCATTCTACATACTGAGGGCTTAAGTGAAAAATACCAAGTGCTCATGGATAATCAATGTAAAGGCTTCATTTTTAAAACACAGGTTCCCAAGCTTTTCACTGAAGGAGAGTGGCACCTAAAGCACCCAAAGTAAGTGATATCTGACTTCAGAAATACCCCAGATTTCCCTTGATCAGATGAGTATTTCAGTCATTTGCATAATAACCCAAGTAGAGCTGATATCCATGCCAGTGATGATGAACCTCACACATGCTACAGGATCACACCGTAGAGACGGTGTGCTGTGGCTGTGTCTCCATGTCCCCAAAAGCCCCACAGAGGCACAGATGGGACTTCTTCAGAGGTGGCTCATCTAGAGTGTGTGATGCTGCGATGGATTCATGGTGCAATGCTAGGCTCTCAGGCACTGCCTGCCCTTAGTAACCGAGGTAAGATAGGAGGGACAGAAAGAGCTGGGGTCAACCCTTGTAGCTTTGCTACCTTCTGAGATCATAAACTGTTTCTCCTCTGTGATGTCCATGCCACCCTGTCTTAGAGCCAGCCGATTATGGCTGAAAACTCTACCACCTGTGAGCTAAATAAATCTTTCCCTCTTTAACTTTGAGTGTTGGGTATTTTATCACAATTCAATGTCCTCCATAGATGATTCATAGGATAAAACATGAGCGTTCTCTGTACTTCTCTAAATATCCATTTCCTGTGTATTTTCCAAACTGCGTGAACCAAATGGATGGCCAATCAAGTCTCCAAAAAACCTGCATAGTTTAGGAGACATTTTCCAAACAAAGTCACTCATTTCAGAGCCCATTTCCTAATTCACTCAAGATCAATGAAAAACATTCGTGAACTAGACACAACTGTAAGATAAGGACCAGAGTCCCTGCGCTTCCGGAATAATGTGTTAGAACAAGAGAAAAGCTGCAGATAGATAATTTGAAAATACAATACGAAGGCCCCCAAACAAATTTTGTATGAGCAATTATGGGCACAAAGGCATACAGTATTAGTGACTGTATCCTAGAATACAATTAAAAACTGAAGGATGGACAGATTAAGCTGTGAATTTGGGTATTACAAGTTAAAGCGAGAAAAACTATGTAAACTCAGTCCACAAGAGGTCCTGAACTCCTTGGTAGGAGTTACACACAATTACACACTATACAAACTCCCCCGCACACACAGCCCACAGCTGCCACTTGGTGCTGATGTCCAACAGACATGTGTGGAGCAGTGCTTCCAGCCCCCGCTGTAAGAGGAAACCCAACTGTGTCCCCTACTGATAATTCCTCCATCTCATTTTTCTGCTGGTCTTTATTGCATGACCTTCAACTGCAACCTCGCCAAGTCATTCTCCACGTCCACCTTAATTTTCTTCAGCTACTTCCCCTCGTTATGCACGAAAGAGGCCAATTTTCAAACAAGCATATCTGAAGCCACTCATCAAAATTATCCTGTTCTGGAGGAGGAATCCCCGAGGGGCAGTGAATTTCCAGGCTGCTGCAGGACTCTCCTTCGTGTAGCGTGGGCAGAGCCAGGCTCAGGCCCACCTGGGAACTGAAGTCCCATTATTAACCATCTTTTGGTCCCATCTTTTCTGTCATAACATCAACTCAATCTTCCCCTTATTTACCATCCATCTAGCTCTTTCCACAAATCAAGGCGTCCTCAAGTGATGACAATGTGCTGCCACCAAAGATATTCTGAATTATTCTGAAAAGTACCCCACAGACCTGAAACGAATGCCACACAGAAACAACCAACGGAAAACAAAGCCAACCAGAAGGGCAATAACGCTGAGGAGGGACACGCCCACGGACGCATCCCCAGGGCAGGGACTGCATCTGTCACTAAGTTCCCACAGACATACTTTTACAGCAGTCTTACTAGATCACACATGCTACTCACAGACATAGCACATGCTAACAATCCTGAATGTGTGTAATGAAATACAAAGCTTATACTAAGCCCAAGGGAAGGGAGGAAACATTGCAGTGATTTCCGTGAGCTGGAAGTCATGAGGAAACTTGACCTTGGGTTCACCTACAAGGCAGCATCACTCTCACCAGGCAGTAAAAACCCTCACTCCAACTCAGGAAAGCTGCTCTGAATCACTAACAGCCGCACAGCTGCAAGGGCTGCACTTTTATTTTAGATATTTACGATGATTTGATACCCCGGGTCTAGACGTTTCCTAGGTGAGCTGGCAACAAGCCTGGAGCACAGCCTGTCATCCAGGCGACCACCCCAGAGTCCCTTTGAGCACTCCTTGTCCTGGCAGAAGCACCCCCGAGGCCAGGCCTCCTGCCTAAGTACTCGACCTGGCCACAGCAGTCACCTCAGCACACAGCAACCGGCACGAGTGCTCCGTCTCTCAGACCTCGTGTCACCTGAGTAATCTTTTTCTTGGTTTTGGTTTACCTTTTGTGAGATCCTCAAACTCACATGCATGTAACCTGCACGCGACATAAGAAAGCAAAGCACCATGGACCAGGTATGCCGACACTCATCCACAGCGACTCGCATACCCGCTGCACTGGAGGTCACACGTTACCGTGACCCACCAGGCAATAAAAAGGAAAGAAAGAAGCAACGAGGAATAATTCAGTGGAGGAAGGGTAATGCTAGTACAGTTTTATACAGAGGTCTTCTAAACCCCACCAGGAATTAGATAACAGGCTTTTGGAGAAAGAACAAACACAGCCCAGACTGCAAGATTAAACTTAGTAAGGAAAACATACAGCTTAGAAACAGAGGGAGCTGATAACGGTCATAAAAACCTCCAGGATCCAGAACCCACACAGTGAGTGGGAAGCAGTACTGATCTCTCCTCTTCCTGTATGTAAATACTATTAAAGAAAATTATTATTTTTAAAAGTTATACCATCAGTCTTGGGGGGAAATTGCAGTTCTATTGCCCACATATACTTTTCTGCCCTTACTCAACACAGTGATGGCTCAGGCGGCCTGGCTGGCACTATCCCAGTACGCTGGCAGCAAGAGGAGACAGAAATATGTGATGGGAGTCGCAGACAGAACTTCCAAGGACACTGCCCACTGCTATGGCCCAGAATACAGACTCAATGGCTGGAGGAGCAGCAGCCTTTGAATCGTGAGGTACTCACTAGGGTGGTAGGAGGGAGAGGAAGCAAAAGGGAAGAATAAAGTCAAGGGATAAACACTGAAGCCCTAAAGAGAAATAAAGATGATAAGGAGGAAGCAGTGCACTTCCTTCTTTTTCAGGAACTTTACATCTATGCCACCACACAGAAAACTCCTTAAATTGGCTGGGTGTGGCAGTACATACCTGTAACCTCAGCACTCAAGAGACTGAGGCAGGAGAATCACCCTGAGGCCCAGGAAAGGGATACATAGTGAGTTCAAGGCCAGCCTTAGTTACAGAACGAGAACTCGTCTTTAAAAAAAATCTAACTAGAAAAAAGAAAATTCTTAAAATCAATCAGATCTATAATTGATTAAGAATAAAAGAAAGAAAGAAACAGGTATTGAGCACCTGATACCATCTGCTAAGGGAATTACTTTAGACTAAGAATTACATCTTATGCATCCTTTTAAATCCTGTATTGGCATCCACAGAAATAACAGGTTCTTAGTAAACGCTTTAAAGTGAACGGAGGCATAAATGGTACTGTTGGCTCTGACATTTGGAAACTACTGAAAACTGCACTACCATTTCCTCATCCATCCATATGCGGTGGCACAAGAAACACCAAAATGGCACCCAGAATTTGGAGGCAGATTTATTTACGTCAATGGGCACTGATGGGAATCACTCCCAGAATATCAGGCACTGATGTCCGGTGATCTAGGACTTTTATGTGATGCACAAGCAGGAGGTACAAAAGTGAGACAGAAAAGCCTGGCCATTCTTCTGGTCAGCTAGTGGGGTGAGATCATTAGTTCCAAGGATAGATTCATGAAGTCTGGTACAGTCAGGCATCTTGTATGTTCGGTTATGCTCTTATAGTTACAGGAGTCAAGAAAGTGATTACAAGACCGTGAAGCAGTTACAGAGCAAGGCAGTTTAGAAGCTAACAAAGTTCTACTCTCTTGTACAACTTTTTCCCTTCACATCCACCCAGGCTCGTGGTTCTTTAACACTGCGTCGGGGTGGGGAGCCACCCCTCTTACCTTCTGTGGTCGGAAACCCTTCATTCCCATCTGTCTCGGCCTCTGCCAGTTTCCCAGTCCTCAGCAGCACCTCGGCAAAGCTCTCCACAGGGGGCTGCTGACAGGTGTCGAAGGGCATGCCAGACTGGACAAAAGCAAGGTCCACCTTTTAACGGGTATCTTTTTTAAGAGTTCTTAGAAGACAAAATTGTAGGATGCTACAGCTTCTGGCAACTTGAACAGTAACTTCTCACTAATTGTACCATTTTATCTAGCATTTCAGATGATTTTCATTTCATAAATGTCTTCATGTGTCTGAAATCATCCACATAAAACCAATGAATGTCACAAGCTAGCCTATGCCTAGGAAGTACACTTGCAGGAGAATTTCAGTTTTCCTTTACACTGTCCACAGTAGACAACAGGAAAGCCTGTGTGTGAGAGATACTGCTCTTACCTCAGCAACAAAGGGATTCGCCATGACTGATTCATAAAAAGGATGACATCCTTGCTTTTCTAGGTCTTCATTGACTACAGTTCCAGCTGAGTAAGAGCCACCGAATTCTTGCCCCTAAGCAAAACAATGTGAAGACTAGTGACTGAAATGGGCATGGGCCAGGGAAGGAAGGGGATTTCAGGAGAAACCTGAGGTGCCTCTGTGACTGGATGGGGTCGGACACAGACATCCAGCAAGGGACCTAGGTGTGACAGCACACAGAAGAGCAGCACTTCGACCTGCTGCTAGCACCTCTTGTTTTCTGGTTCCTCTGACCTCAGTCAGAAACATCAAGCAGCCACCCTCACACACAGAGTGAGTCCTCCTCCTCAGTGCCAGGACAGTGACTCCAGGCGGTCATCTTGTGTACCTTGCTGCTCAGCTGGAAAAACCAGTAAAGAGCCAAGAGCAGAAGATCTGAAGGAGGCTGACTAACACCAGTCTTTGAGCTGTTAATCAGTCTTAAGCACTCCACTGAACCACCCTGCTTGCATCCTGGGGCCCAGGGTCCTCGAGGCCAGGCAGGCTGCCTGAGGGATCCACTCTGCCCAGCCCAGCTCAGCCCAGCCACCACTCAAGCCTGACCTATTCATAGCAAGGGAACAGTGACACTGCCTCTTTCCTTCGCTGATGCTTTCACAGCTACTCTCACCCACACACACCTTGAAGACTTGTTCTCAGTCTCCCCGAGAACAACCCCATAGGTTCCTTAGCAGAGTTCATTATGGTCTTTATGATCACCGCAGATAGACTTAAGTTCCTCACTGGAAGAACCAAGTAAGAGATACTCTACCAGATGAGTGCAACTACCTCCTGCCAAGCACTAGGAGGGAAACAGCAAAGATGCTGCTGCTGCTGCTGCTATGACAGCTGATGTTTAAGAAACACTGTAGCTTAGTGTTAGACGTTCCCCCAAAGCCTCATGGGCTCACAGGTGGGCTTTGGGGAAGAGACTAGATCATGGGGGTATGTTACATTGGTTATGGGTGGTTGACACTGGACTATGGGTGTCTGACATTGATTCATGAGAGTGGCACTGTGACCCTGGACTGGGGGTGTGTGGCACTGGACTGTGGGTATGTGGCACTAGCTCATTTCACTGAGGGGATCACAGCTGGGTGTGCAGGCCGGAGGTGAGTCTCTATGGGCATGGCCTGGAGATAGCTCTATCCAGGTAGGTAGATACGTATGCACGTACACATGTACGTACACTCTTCTCCCTGGAGCTTCTGCTCTTGGTCTGCCATGTCCCGAGCATCTCCTGTCTGTAATGCTGACTGTAGACTGAAACCTCTCCAAGCCCTGGGCCCAAATAAACCTTTCCTCTTAACTTGTAGGCGGTGGATATTTTGTCTGGCAAGGAGAATGTAATGCAGACAAAAAAGTACAGTGTTAAAATTTTACTTAAGGATGAAACCCTTGAAACATCCAACAGAGAAAAGGAAAATGATCATAATCATAATTCAGCATGAAGTACAAAGTGATGAGAGATTCCTAGGTTAGCCCTGAATTCAGGTGCAGAACAGCTCACCCAGCTGCATGGCTCACACCCTCTGGCCTCCTCTGCCCTGTGTCCCATGTGCAAAATGTCAGCAGAGCCGCTAGGCGCAGCCGCAGCACGCCCCTCTCTGCTAGCTGCTCATAGCCGCTCCGGTGTAAGCCACAGCTCTGTCCTGCAGAGAATGACTACACTGCTCCCCTCACTCCTGCCAGCAGCTGCCTGCGTAGCACCAACAGGACCTCAGTATGATAGCCGTGAGCGCATACTGCACCCCTCCATCCCCAGAGCCATGCAGCTGTGTCACACCAAAGCCCATGTGGCACTCTCAGGGTAGGATCCTGCTCCCCTCTGCTCTCACCCCCACACTCCTCCTGCTTGTTTGTGCTGCTCAAACCACACTTGACTGCTGTCATGGCTCTGTCTCGATGCCCCTCAAAGCTTCCCATGGTCAGAGGTAGGGCCTCGTCACAGATGGCTGGACCTACAGTGTGTGACACTGGGATAGATTTGTGGTGCAGTGCTAGGCTCAAGGGCACTGGGATTAAGGTGTGAGTGCTGCCAGCCCCGAGTAGCTTGGGTAAGATACTAGGGACAGAAAGACCTGTGCTTGCCCCTTGCTTGCTCATGCCTGCCTGCTTGCCGTGGACTGAAATCTCTGCAAACTGTAAATAAACAGTAAATAAACCTTTTCCCCTTTAACTGTGGCTCTGGGGTATTTTGTTTCAGGTGGGACATCTACTTTACGTTGTACAGGATGTCAAGCACATACCCGGGAAGGCTCTGTACATTTCTTTTTCATTTTTATCGGTACCGGGGATCAAACTCACGACCGCCTGCTTGCAAGGCAGGTACTTATGCAGCTGAGCTAAATCCCCAGCCCCGGCTCTGTACATTTCTACAAGACTCAATCACTGCCCAAAACGGTGCTTTTGGGTGCCCCAAATTGCTGCCCAAAACGGTGCTTTTCTGAGAAGCCTAACTTCTCTCTCACTCAACTTCCTTCTCCAGTGTCACTTGGGATCACCTCACTCATCTCCACAGCCCTCACCACCACCGTCACAGCACCACACAGATGCTTTTGTGCATTTCTACCAGTGAAAGGGATGTGCCATCCAGAAGAGAATTAACTGCATGTGTCACCCCATTCTGTCTTCAGTGCAGAGCACAGCACTTAACCCACAGAAAAAGAGAATGTGCTGCATGGATCAGGGCTAGATGAAGGATGGATGGATGGGTGGGTGGATGGAAGGAAGGAAAGATGGAAGCATAGACAGATGAAAGAATGAATGGAAGGAAAAATGGAAAGACAGATGGAAGGATGGATCCATGGGTGGATGGAAGGAAGGATGGGTGAATGGAAGAGAGGGAGGGAGGAAGGAAGGGAGGGAGGAAGGAAAGAAGGGAAACTCAGTGAGTGTTTGGGATGAAGGGAAACTCAGTGAGTGTTTGGGATAAACTGATATGGTTTTCTAAAGTGAGAGTAAAGGCCTGCAGTTCAAGAGCACAGAGAAGACAGCAGAGAAAGCAATAGCTGAACTGTCCCTCCAAGCAACTCAACTGCTCCATGCTGGTCCTGATGGCACTTTCAGAGTGTAACCAAGGTCTGAGATATGGCCCAAGCTGGCTCCTCACTCTGCCCAACTACAAGCCAGAAGTACCGCCAAAGTAAACATTTTCTTTTTACCCACTCAATTTTAACTCTTACCTACGACACTCCCCCCCCGCCTCGAATGTGTGCCAGTGTCCTTTACACCTCCACGAGTGTGTATCTCACTCTGTGAAACAGATGGCTCCCTTCTATCCCACAGGTGGCCTAAATCTCCCCAGAGGTTATTTTAATCATCAAAGATGCAGCAGCACTAAGAACTGATGTACACCAGGGGCCTGGCTTTGCAATGCTGTGCGCTCACCTGGAGGGGCCGGAGGTAAGTCAGAGACCTCTTCCACCACTGCCTGTCGCTGATGGCCTGCAGCATGGCCCTGGTGGTCGTCGTGGTGTTGGACAGGACTTTCATGGTGGTGGCAGTGGTCCAGCGCAACAAGTCAGCCGAGCCGCTGCCTGGACCGTCTGGCTCAGCCTTCACCGGCCGAAAAATCAAGAACAAAAACATGCAACATAAGTAAAGAGCAGAGGGTGACAAGGTGACTGCTCAGAATGCCCAGACAACAGATATGAAGACAAAGACATGTTAAACATCATCCTTTTGGCCTGGTTTGATCTCAGGTGACACCCAGCAGGGGAACACGGACCTTGGTTCAAAGACACGGGGGTTTGACCCGTGGGGTCAAGCAGTAGGAACTCTCCTCTCTTTGCAGCTTCTGGGCTCTTGTCTGGGAGACCAGCAGAGACCACGCAAGCTGTTAGGCTTCTGGCTTGTGGGCATGTCCGTAAAATAATCAACTGCAGTGTTTTAAAGTTGCAGAGTTCACAGCAACAGAAAACAAACCTCTCATTTGACCACTCCTGCACAAACCTCCATTTTATTCCTACCCCTAAAGGGAGCGAGTCCGCTGAGTAACAGTGCTCACGATTTACCCAGCCCTGGCTGCTGGTGGCTGCCTGCATTTATTCTGGACTGCTGTCACCATAAAAACAACCCAAAACCACATGGTTTCCAATGAGTTTTTTACCTAGGACTATCAGAGTAGTCAAAATTTTGATAAAAATCAAAATTACAAATAAGAACTTAACTATGAAAACAACCTAGAAAAATGAACGGCAGATTAATAAAGGGAACTCATGTTAAATTGCTGGTATTAAGATCAATCATGGCAGCGCCTCCCAGGCTTCAGGCTGAGCCTGGCACTGCAGCTCTTTCCGCCGCAGGCCCAGGCCCTAACAGGGGAAAAGGAGCAAGTCTCCTGACTCCGTCCCACGGGCATTCTACTTGTGACCTGCTCTCCTCTGGATCCAAGGCACACAGTGCATGAACTCCAGCAGGGAGACTACAGTAGGAACCATAACTCTGCCACTTCTGGTTTTCCTGCTGGTGGGATGCGTGTTTCCATTTCTGGCATGTTTTCCCGAGGTGGTAACACGGCTGACATCTACGCCACTGTGCGCACCCACATCTCGGCAACTTGGCACTGTCAGCGCAGCACTGCAGGCAAGTTCCCTCCCAGATTCCCACCCCACCTGCACCCCTGTGGGCATCAGATCTAAAATCCTGATCTACACCATAGCAGTTATTGTTACCAACTCTCCTGAAGCCTGCATCCTTTAAGTGACTTTATAAGCTCTTAATTTGCCATTAAAAGCAAAAAAAAATGTTCTTTATAATAGCTAGAACTGAACTTGATTGATTCAAACAAGCAATGACCTGATGAGATCACAGCCAGAAAGCGGAGGGCTAGGTCTGCGATCCTGAGTATGTTCTGGGGTGCAGGGCGCAGCTGAAACCTGCAGCTGCCCAGGGTGGATGCCTTCCTTGGTCATCTTGGAGAGACTCTTCCAGGGTGCTGGGCCACGCACACACATACGAGCTCAGTATGTGCATTTACTTAAACTAATTTATTTTTGTATGTTATAAAACTCAGGTAAGCTCACAAAAGGTAGCCTTAAATAGAACTGTAGGAGAAGAAAGGACAATATTTATTCACAGTCCCATGAGTAAAGACAATTGCCAGCATGTAATCTTTCTCTCTAACCCACACATAGGCTTTGTTTTCCTTTTTATTCTGAGACACAGTCTTATTGTGCTGTCGCTGGTCTTGCACTCCTGGGCTCAAGGGAAGTTGGCCCCTCAGCCTCTCCAGAAGCTGGGACCAGGATGTGGGAAGCCATGCCCAGCTCCAGGCCCTTTCTGATAACCCACACAATGCCTCACGCATGCCAGGACAGCACCCTACCATCCAGCCATACCCCAGCCCCTGGCTCCAGACCTTTAGAACACTTTGTTTCTGAAGTAGAAATTTCCAGAGAGTGCATGAAGAGAATACATATAACTAGCTGATTTTTAACACACACACATGGCAGCCTTCTGACCAGAAAAGGCTGCCACTAGAATTCCAGAAGCCACCCCTGGGCTCACCCTAGCCACGCCACTGCCGGGACAAACGCTGTCCCAACCTGCACAGCATGGAGTGTTCTGCCTGCCTTTATACTTCACATGAACACAAATTCAACACTACACAAATTCATTCCTATTTCTGTAGATAGTTGAAGACTCTTCAACACATCACTGTCTCCAATGAGACTTGCGAATACACCAGGATTTACCCTTTCCTTTGTGGATGAGCACGGGGTAGACGCCAGCTTTGAGCGAGAACAGTGTGAATTTCTAGGTAAACAGCTGGTAGTGGAACTGCTGAGACATACAGCAAGAAACTGGCCAGATTTACTACACTGAGTTGGATTTTCCTGGAGTGGCTGCACCAGTCTCCACTCTCACTGGCAATACTGAGTCGTGTGTCTCCATGTATGACTCATGATGTTTCATGCCTTCTTACTGCACGATTCTGCTAAGTACCTAACACCTTTCAGTGGTTTTGATTTGCACCTCTGCAGTGATAAGGAAGTTGGATGCCACTTCATATATTTTTGGGCCATCTGAGAGGCCTCTGTGAAGCTGTTGCAGCCTTTAGCCTATTTTCCGGTATCTTGTCTGTCTTTATTACTCACATGCACAAGATTTTGATGCATTCTGGATACATATCCTTTATTACAGGCATTAATTGTAAATATGTTTTATTATTCTGTGGATTACCTTTTCATCATCTTAATGGCACTTTAAATTAGGTAATTCAAGTTTGTAACTTTGTATTGTTCCTTTTGTACCACATCTGAAAAAATCTTTGCCTATGCCAAGGTTATAAAAATGTTCTCCTAGGTTTTTCTTGACGTGAAATATTTTTGCTCTAGGTAGAACCTTAAGACCACGTACTACCATTCTTGTATCCATTCATAAAGATTATATATGCAATTTAAATGTGTTTTCTATCATATATATAATAATTGTTTTTGTCTGTCCTGATAGAACAGTAAGCTGTTCAGGAGCAGGGGCACTATCTATGTTTTATACCCTTAGAGTATGTGAAAACTTCTGCAGTTTGGAGCTACAAGTATGTCTAAGAAGTCTGGTCTTACTACTCCATTAAAATGTTTGAGGGCATATTTCCAAAAACCTACTATGTTATGTCTATTTAGGTAAATGTTATTCAAAGAAGCTTTCATACCATATTTTCAATTCCCATTCATCTTTAGAACCTTCTTAATTGAGAGGGCATACTGAGTGATTTTAATGTAATCAACTAATCTAAGTACAGAATTAAAAATATAAACATGATAAGAAATATAGTGCTTAAACAGAATACAATTTAATTTGGAGGTAGATCAAACCAATTAAAAGATGCCTAAATATGTGAGCCATAAAAGCATTATTCTATTTCATAAAATGATCTTACATTTTATTTCTTCTTCACATGGATGGGCTGGCCTAAGACAGGATCTTTAGAAGACTATTTCAGAAGTTAAATGAAATTCACATACTCAGAAATCTGCGTGATAAAAGGATTTTCTGTAAGAGACTACCCTAAGGAGAATTGCAGAGGAGAAAGAAGAGGCTCATTTAGACCAGAGAATAAGCATTGAATTCAAGAGCCATCATCAAGATCATAGTGTGGCCAGAGTCCCAAAAAGGAAAATAGTTTTCTTTCAACATCATAATAATGAGAAAAGAAAAAAGACGTTAGGCAAAATTCACTCCTGAAGTAATTACTGCTGGCATTTTTTATATTCATAGAGGCACATGGCTAATTAATTGGAAATGTATAACAGTTAGAATACATTAAATCCCAAAACCAAATCAACAATTCCCAGCATAAAATTTAACATTAAATCTCATTAATGTCAAGTGTGCTACATGACTCTAAGGTTAACTCATTAAGCACTAATAATATTTTTCAAATCCTACAACAAAAATTCCATTACCAAATAGGACCACAGGAACAAGGGCAGCGTCACACATGGGGGCACAGCTCGCAGCTCACAGCATTGTCAACTGTGCATGATGGACTCACTTCCAAGTCATCCAGCAATGGAAGGACTGATTTGGCAGAAGGTACGCAGCAACCAGCAAGGTGACAACAGTCAGGCAGTGCTCAACCCAACCTGCTAGCCTTTCCCCTTCAACACAAGCACAGACAGAGCTTCTCTATAGTGAAAACTTGTTGCAAATGTCACCAGCTGAAGTCGTTCAGACTGCACTCCTTGGGCTACTACGAGAAGCGCCTCCCGGAAGCAGCAGCAGGAAACACTCCATGGAGCCCACCACTCTCAGGTCTGGCTGCCTCAGCTCGGGTGCTGAAGAGCAGCCCCGGCTACCTCTCAGCTGCTTTCCCTTGCAAAGCAGGAGCCCCCTGACACTTCTGGAGAAAGTCAGTTCCTTCCCTGGGAAACTGAATGCACGGGCAGATGCACTTCCACAGACAGAGTCATGAAGAGATACGCACGGCGAGAGGCGACGACTTCAGGAGATTCAAGGACCAAAGCCTTCTTGAGTTTCCTAGCAATCTTGGATCAAGATTAAGGAAGATGTATTCAAGAAAAAATAGATGTGTACAAAGCATATTTCCATTTTAATTTTCCATGTCAATTTTTAAAATTACTTTTGGTGTATTTGGATTCTAAATGCACCCACAAAGTAAGTTACTAAACACCTATTTTTGACATGCCTAGGTTTAGGACTGAGCTATGCTTCCTGCTCCTGAGGGCCCTATAGTACACTAGGAAAGGGGGGCAAATCAGGCAGTTGCCCTTACCCCAAGAAGTGAGAACCTTCCCAATCAAAGCCCATTCCTACCCTCCCTTCCACAGTGCTCACTTGCCCACCCTGGCCAAGGACACTTCTCTCATTTGTTCATCACTACGGCAATAAGCGCCTAGGACACAGCTGTGTTCCAAGATGCTGGAAATAAGTGCAAAACCAAACAACTGCCTCGGAGAATTCACACTGAAAGAAGAAAAGAAAGAAAAGAAAGCGTGCCAGGAGAGACAGCCGAGTGACACCAGACAGCAAGGGAGTACAGTGTGGCTGTGTGGGGGCCAAGGGCTTCATGTGTGAGGGCGGGAAGGTTTTCA